TGCTGCTGTTGTGTGCTGCTGCTGGTGGTGGTTATTACATATACATGTGTGCGTGCATGTGAGCGGCAGATACTCACTCAGCGGTGGATCTATATACTCGTGCGTATACAGAGTGAGCTCAGCAGTGTAGCTGGAGTAAGCTGGTGGATCAAGACTGGCGTTAGAACGAGCGGAGGCATAGAAGTGCGTGTCAGTCAGTTCGTAGCCGGACAAGCGGAGGTTCGAAGTGCATATCGCTTCGTAATCGAGCAAGAAGAGAGCAGAAGTGGATAAGGTGGTGGCTGAACAAGCCATTGGATAGAAGTGGATATCGGTTTATAACAGAAGGAGCCCTTGGATATAACTGGAATTCGCTTCGTAGTAGAGCAAGAAGAGAGCAGAAGTGGATATTATAAGTTTGTGGCAGAGCAAGCGTTGGATATCAGTGCGTAGCAGAGAACACACAGTGGATAGAAGTGGATATATCAGTGTGTAGTTAGAGAACACACAGTGGATAGAAGTGCATATCAGCTTGATATCAGCTTATATAGCAGGCAACGTACTGGATAATAGCGGTGTGTATTGGCCACACAGGAGGCGGCTGTGTGGTGGCCAGTGTGCGTGTGTTGCAAGGCTGTGACGGGACCAGTGTACGCGTGTGTTACACGTATATAACGCTTTGTTAGAAACAAGTCTTGATCGTGTGTGCACAGCGGCGTGCGCGTGGTGTATTTGTGGGTTGCAGAGGAGCATTTGAACGGCATTTACAGGAAATTCTCGGTAATAATAGGCGAAAGAGAGTTGAGAAACATTAAGACATTGGTAGTAAATGTATTTTTTGTTTAAATTTACCATTATCTTACTATTGAAACCTTCCAAGCACGGTCACTTGGAGCGTCTCAATAAAAAAAATATAAAAAAATATAAATAAACTCGAAATGTGTTACAGAAAATTATCGGCAATAATAGGCGAAAGAGAGTTGAGAAACATTAAGACTTTGGTAGTAAATACATTTCTTGTTTTAATTTACCATTATTTTACGATTGAAACGTTGCAAGTGCCTGTGGTGTTAACCTCGCCTGTGTTACAGGATCCAGCGCGACCCACAGCGACCGCCACCAGAGCGCGCCACCCTCGACGCGCTCCCAACCGCCTACACTGCCACGCCCCCTGGTGGACGACGAGATGGCGAGTCCGATGAAGGAAGCGCTCCCGCCGCACGCGGCCGGCCGCCGCAGCCCCCACGGTGGCGCCCCCCTGCACCACCACCACCACCAACACCCGCATTGTTCGACGTTGGACGCGTGCGCGGCGGGGGCGGATGATTGCCCGCACCACGCGACGCAGCATTTCGACGCGGTGATGCCTCACGACCTGGACTTCATCCCCACGAGGTAAAGCGCACGCATGCGCGCTGACACGCACACGCACATGCACGCACACGCACACACACGCGCACGCACGCACACACGCTAGCGCACGCGCACATACATGCACACGCACGCATACATAGGCAGACACACACACATACACACACACAAACAAACACACACACACACACACACACACACACACTCAAGTCATATATGTCGATAGATATCATAATCAGACATAGATATAGCGGTTCAAACTATACATGCAGTCACATGACGAAGAAATGTGTATTTACGTTATTTGCGCAGCCTGGTTTGGCTACTTCTTCGTCATCTTTTTTTCTTTTTCTTTTTTTCTTCCTCTTCGTCATCTTTTTGTCTTCCCTTTCTTCTTCCTCTTCGTCTTTTTTTTTTTAATCTTCATTATCAAAGTCATCAATATCATCAACTTCATCATCATCATCATCATCATCATCATCAATATCATCAACAACATCATCATCATCATCACCATCATTATCAGCATCATTATCAGCATCCCATCATCACCATAACTACCTCTAACTTATCAGGAGTAACTCTTCAGAGTTAATTACTGGGTAGTGGTAAAGCCGGCAGCAGTAGTATGTAGCCATGTCAGTAACATTTGATTTTACATTCAGTAATTATCCTTTGATAGCGTGCATCAGCGCGTGCCTAAGCCACGATTCAAACGTCCTTCGTTCAATAGTTTTCCACTAGACTACGAGATTTATTTTTAAAACGCACAGAATTCGCAGGAAGTTATATATATCTGTTGCAATGCGGAAATTACGTGAAAGGCAAAGCAAGTCAAGGCAGTGCAGTACAGTAGCTGAACTTGACCCAATAAAGCCTGTCTGTGTGTGTGTGTCTGTGTGTGTGTGTCTGTGTGTGTGTGTGTACTAACTACAGCAGTGCTTATA